GCTGTCAAATTGGCTACGCAATCAGTAAACTGGTCTGCAGAGGTCTCTTGTGGCACGTGGGCCGTCTTTAGAAATGAAATCAGGGCCTTAGCATGGGCCTCTAAGCACAGCAGCAAGGAAAGCATAGATATCTTGGAGGGGGTATGCCCCAGCTGTTCAACAACATTAAAGTCACTCTTCTTGATTATCTTCAGAATTTCCTCCATCTCTTGTTGGGAGGCTTCAACATTCACAGATTTTGGTGCCTCCATCCGGGCAGGCTCATCTTCAATCCCTTTGCCCCGAGCATTAGATGACTCGGCAGCAGGGGAAACAACTTGATCAGAAGTGGGAACAGGTGCACTTGCAGGTGTTATAATGAGAGGTCTTCGAATAGCTGGTGGTGTAATGTCAGGCGAGAAGAGCCTGCCACTGCGGGTAACTTTGGCTGGACCAGTGATATTGCTTATGCTGGTGCCAGTGTTGAACTCTTGCTTTATACCATGTACATATACATCTGCCCCATAGTGCCATGGGACAGCCTTATCAGATTCGTAGGGGAGGGGCCCCGGAACAGTAATAACAATGGGTGCGACATTCATGATTTTAACTGGCTTCCTCGGGGGAGCCTTGATCGGATTATTGAAAATTTTAACAACAGATACTTCTTCCACAGGAACAAACGGAACAGCGGTTTTCTTGAAGAGAATCTCTTTGTTGTCCATCAGGCTTTGGATGCCTAACTTCAGCAAAGGACAACCAGTAGGGGTAACAGCACACAAAAGGCAACCCTTGCTGCAACCCAGAAATAAATCGGCCAGCAGTAGGTTCCTCTTAACAGTCATCAGTGGGGTAGCTACATCATTCACAGAAACGGCATACACATCTTCATCAACGACATTCACTCCATGCTGGGGCATAGGAGCAGTCACCACATTTGGCCTCTCAGGAGCCTCAAATTGTATCTCCTTCGCATCAATAAGGTCTTGCACCTTATTCCTTAAGGCCCAGCAGTCATCAGTAGAATGCCCCGGGCTATCGGAGTGATAAGCACAGCGGGCATTTGGATTATACTTGGGAGAGGCAGTATTCACAACCTTTGGGGCCTCCCTGACAGTCACTAGGTTGGTGGATAGCAACTGTGGCAAGATTTGCGATAGGGTCATACTCAGACGGGTAAACTCTCTTCTGGGTCTTTCACCCCTTTGTTGATTGGTTTGCCGAGGAGCGGCAGCAGGCTTAGCAATCACTACCGCGTTAACAGATTGGCGGCGTTCTGGTTTATCATGCCTCCTAGGCCCATATACAGCATTGGCCTCCTTCTTGAAAGGTTTCTTCTCAGCACTTGAAGACGCACCTTTCTGAATTTTACCGGACTTCATTCCAGCCTCTATCCTCTCCCCAGTCAGAGTAAGGTCAGTGAACCCTGCAGACGAATTACCGATAAGATGATTGAAGAATGGCCCGGAGAAGGTCCCCAAGAACATATCCACCAGCTCACGGTCTGTTAACGGAGGCTGCACCCTGCCAGCCAGATCCCTCCACTTCTGTGCATACTCTTTAAAACCTTCGCTTGATCCTAGCGACATACCCTGGAGTTGGGTACGTGTAGGATCAAGGTCGGTATTATATTGATACTGCTTGTAAAAAGCAGTAGCCAACTCCTCCCAGTTACGAACTTTGGTCCCATCCAACTGATAGAACCATTCGAGATGAGTCCCTGAAAGACTCTCCTGGAAGAAGTGGATCCACAAGTTCTTGTCCACTGTGTACGGTTGAATCTTCCGCACATAAGATCTGAGGTGTAGCTTGGGGCAAGACCCCCCGTCATACTTGGTGAAAGATGGTGCCTTAAACTTGTGAGGAATGATCACACCAGTAGATAAGCCCAAGTCTCCGAAATCCAGCCCAGGCACTTGTTGGATCTCCATGGCATTCAGTCTGTCTTCCAACTGCTTGTACCGGTCTTCAGCAGGAGGATACTGTTCCTCATTAAAATCAGTCTCGTTGTCAGAGACTACTGGACTTGGAGCCTTTCCCCCTTGGGAACTGTCTTTGCCTACAGAAGAGCCAGCTTCCTCATTCTGCAGAGTATTACCAAACCTCCGACCCGAGTTGAAAAGAACAGTTCTCTTCTTCTTCTTCTCCTTCTTCAGGAGCAAAGCCTTCAGCTCTTCTTGGCCTTGAGCCAACCCTATGATCAGCTCCTGAAATTGTGCGTTCTACGCCTGAAGGGCCTTGATAGACATCTCGGTTGATGATTCAGGGTTCATGATGCTGAAATAAACAGCGAAGAGCAGTAAGCAACCTGAAAAGAAGAGTACCTGTTATGCACATGATGAATGGAATGCGTATGATTTATGTTTTCAAAGACAATCGGGAATCAACTTTGGAAACAAAAGGAACACACTTCATTAGATTCAACTTTGAAATTTAAATTGTTCAATAGCTTGCCCTTAGGCGTTACATAGAAATGGAAATACTGAAAAAGGGAAATAAAACTATAAAAGAACATCCAGAGCTCCTTATTGATCCCAGGGTCTCCTCTTCTCAGTACGGATGTAGTCATTCAGAGCTCGCTCATTCTCCAACTGCTTTGTCAGCTTCTGGATCTTCAATTCCTACTCGTTGAACTTTTCCCGATAAGAATCCCGTTCTTCTCGCAGTTGTGACCAAGACCTCTTTAATGTCTCATAATCAGTAGGTATCTGAGGAGGGAGGACAGTTGGAGGAGCCCCATCTTTGTCAGGATACTCAAGAATGACGGGTCTGACAGCTTCATACGGCATACCTAACTTCTGAGCACGGATGCGAACCCATTTGTAGTAGGCTTCCATAGGTAGAGAAGTCTTTGGCCCCAACTCTTGTGGGTCAGCTTTATGAACTCTGTCCCAAGCCTTGATGAACCTACGACGCAACTCGTCACTATCCACCTGAAAGTCAAAACTGATGTGAGGCACCAACATCTCATAAGGCCCTGCTCTTCTGGCTCTTCCAAACTGACGGAGAGCTAGACATGGATTGTAAGAGATTCCTCCTTGAGTACCAATCAAAGGAACATTAGGGTATTCTCCGCAACGATCAATAACAGCTATCTCATCCAAACCTCTGAGAGTCCAAATGATGTCCTTATCAGTGAGAGACATTAACATGTGAGCCCAACCTCTTCCTTCTTGGTTCTTCAGCACGAACTTAGGGAGGTGCGAAATAAACCACCACACCAACAAAGGGATACAACACCACAGAGTTCCTCGTCTTCGGGCAGTACGAGCATAAAGTTGTTGCAGGATGTCACCCAAGAGAGTGGGCACAGGATTCTGAGACATGAAGATCCTTATGGCAGTGACATTGATGAAGTTGTCAGGATTAGGAAACAAGACTAGCCCATAGATTAAGAGAGCCAAGATGCCTTCATATGCCCTAAAGTCCAAGTCATTCCAGAAACTGTTAGCTTTACCAATCAGAAACTTCGCCAAGAAACCCTTAACTCCGCTTCTAGTCACCCAGTTGTCCATTACTTCTTGATGGGTCAAGGGAAGAGCTGCAGCAACCTCCTCAAGCCTGAGGGTCTTTTCCCAACCAGTGAAGGGGGTCTGATCCAAGATAGGGATACCAAGCAAATCAGAGAACTCTTCCAGGGTAGGGACCAGCTGGAAGTCTTGAAAGGTGAAGCACTGGTACAGAGGGTCATAGAACTGGGTCAGGACACTCATCAACTATTGATCCCGCTTTGCAGTGACTAAACTGAGAAGAGAACCATGCCTCTGGATGAAGGAAGTGGTGTTTGGAATTCTGCTAACCAATTCTTCAAGTAACTCAGGTGGGTGAACAAAGTTGAACCGGATAGTATTCCTTCGCATAGGCATCATGATGTTCTACAAAACAGAGCAAAGGTGAAACCCTCTTGTCTTTGAAATGGTCAGTCCTTATGCAGGATGCATGCAATGCTCATGATGTTATGATGTTATGATAAAGCACACCACAAATATTTACAAAGGCAAACATGATAAGGCACACAAGTCACACAAGACAAACCCTTAAAGTTCAAGCCAGCATGAGGTCTAGGTATTACCCTCTTTCAGTTTGTTGGTTCATACCTGTCCTACCAAAAGTAACCGGGTTCTTAGAGGATCCCAATATCACTGACTACCCTCAATCGGTCATAACTCCAGCATCGCAATCTTTTCTTGCGGCCAGAACCATCACGAGAGTTTAGCCTCAATGGGCGTAGCATACTGCTACTGTTCTATTGGCCAAGTTGTGTCATTTAAGGTTCTAAGGTCTGTTGGTGCTTAATGACTCCTCAGAAGACCCATATTCTCCTCGTTGCAACACAAGGGATATCGGTACAGACCAAGGTGCCACACCAATGTAGCCACTGCTTCACCCATGTCGGTCTACGCCGGACAGGTCCCTCACAGCTTAAGCTACCTAAACAGGGTATCCCTAGATCCGGGTTAGGATCTATGTAACTCCGATGCAACCCACAATTTTAAAGCAAACAAGTCAAAACAATTGAAAACACAGTTATGAACTAGCCTAAGGTACACCTCACTTTATAAGTATTATCCCCAGCAGAGTCGCCAGTTCTGTGATCGGTGGATCTAGAACTGACTGTTTAACGCTAGTTCGCGAAATGTCGCGGAAGCAAGAGTCGCCACCGTCTTTTATTTTCTCCAACATGGAAAGGACAAAAGCACAGAAAAATTCCTTATTGAGATTAGCTCTCGGTTCGGGAGGTAGATTTATAGAAAGGGAAGGTGTTAGCATCCTTTCTATCCATGGTTATCCATGGGCTCTTAGATACTTGCTCATTTGTGTTTTCAAAATGTTTGTTTGCTTTTCAAGGTGAGTGGGTTTGAAAAAGTTCCGTTTAAAATTTCAGTTCGACTCTTGTATTAGTCCTCAAGAGTGTTTGAAAAATTGTTTTGAAAGCTTTTTGAAAGTGTCGGTGTGAAAAGAGTTTTGATTTGTTTTGAACTAGAGCAAGTATCTACGAGTTGTCTACCTACCCTAAGGAATTAGTCTGTGTAAATGTCCTTAAGGTAGTGCCATCCCACCATTGAGAGGTAGGTAGCACCACCGTTGGAGGTGTTCGGGTCAATTCGAGGGTTCGGGACAGAGCAATAGGAGGATACCTTAGAAGCTACCCCCATGCCATGTTCATGGACATGAGGACTTACTAAAACACCCTCTACTCGACGACCACGTTTCGAGGGCAAGGCAACAGTGAGGCGTACCCTAGGAGTGGTGTGTGAATTGTGTGTCATTTTCAGTTATTTTTGTCTTGATCATGCATTGAGTTTTCTACGCATTGTTTTTATTTGGGCATACATTCTTTCATGTGATTATTAGCAGTTAAAGGTGCGGGAATTTAAAGAGCGGAAAGATAAAATTCCTACGCTATTACAAGGCGCGGGTCTACATCGCCAAATTAAACCAAGACCCGATTTGAAATAAAATGCGGAAAATAAATATCCTAATTATCTATTACAAAGCTTCGGGGAAAATACATTACATTCATAAAAGAAATAAACGCGCGAAAAGAATTAAGAATCGAGTGCGAGGGCGTTGGACCCTTTTAAAGAAATTAAATCGAAATTATAAATTAATTAAATTAAACAGAAGAAAGAACTTATTTTTTGATGTTTTTTTGTATTTATGAAATTAAAGAAAATTAAATGGAATTAAAACCCTAATTCTAAACATTTTTAATTATTAAAGAAATATTTAAGTTTGACCTAATTTACATTAATTATTTAAATGGCATATTTATTTACAAAAATAATTAATACTTAATAATGGTAAAAAAAAGGGAAAAAACAATAAAGTATTAAACCCTAATTTCTACATTTTTAGTTTATAAAAAAAAACATTAAAATTAGACCTAAAATTAAAACTAAATTAGTTAACAAAATTTATTTACAAAATAATATTAAATAAAATATATTTTTATTTTTATGATTTCTGATTTTTTTTGGTATTTTTATATTATCAAAATTAATTTTATGGAATTAAATAAAACAAATAATATAATTAAAATAAATAAAAGAAAAGAATAAAAATAGAGAAAAGAAAGGCAAACATGGGGGTATTCAGGCCCTTTTGGAGGTTCATTTGCAGTAATTTGGCCCAAGAATTCAGGCCTTGTTTGACTTCTCAGACTTACGTGTGGATGTGTTGACTGATGCTTATGGTGGGCCTCACATTCTGACCTTTAGATTCATCTCCTGGGACATGTGGCGCGCCAAGGTATTGGATGCATGATGGACCCTAGGCAGGGAATTACACCTGAACGCATATTGAACAAAATTATGAAGAATATGGGGACCTGGGAATCGAACCCAGGTCCCAATGCTTGAAGGACACCTCACTTTCCACCCAGCCAAATGCGTTTGTTTGATAAACTATTGGAACCTGATCAATATGAGAGAGAAAAAGGTATTATGCTGGATAACAAAAAAAAAAGCGCCAATGTTTGAATCCACCAACCACGTTCCTCCACGCATCATCTTCTCCAATTGCTATTTGTTTTGCCTGAAAAAAATAAACTAGATAGCGGGGGTTTTAAACCCCCACAACCTGAAACCACAAATAATAGCGAATAGAAATTGGGCAATGATAAATTGGGCGCGAGGTGATGATTGTATTCGTATGAAGGTCACGAATCCAATGGTGTTGGTCTTATGGTCCAATTTTTCCCCAGGCAAGAAACCCCAATTTCGAATCTCTGAAACCCTAGGCAGCTTCCATGGCAACTTCTCATACAGGCAACGTTAGTTCAAATAGAAGATATCAATAGCTTCAGCATACTCATATTAACATAAATCAATCATTAAAACTCAGTAATTATGCATGAAAAATCAAATACGAATATGCAAATTTTTGGGAACAGGGCAACGTGGTTCTACCGGTTCTTTGTGTATGGAGAGTGGAGAAGGATTGAGGCACGTCCAAAAAGGTTCCAGCAATCTTTTAGGATACTTTTTAGGCCTTGAAGAACACTCTAGCTATGAAATCAGTTTTGAGAAATTTTGGAAAAAATGCAAAGTTGGTTTTCAGGTTTGGGCGCAGCTTCCTTGTTCTCCTGATTAGGGTTGTGTTTCTTGGACTTGAAGTGTGAATAGGAGTTGTAGGAAATGTCATTCTCTTCAAAATGAGCTTTGGATGGAATTTTTCTGATAAACCATGTGGAAGTTATGCCCTGGTCAATTTGCAGTTGACTTTTTCAACTGTGCAAAAATAGAAACTTTTGCATCTTGAGACTTTTTTAGCCATGCCTTGAAAATCATGATCAAGAATTGATCAAATGATGTTTGTGGCTTCAAAATAAGATGTTGACCAAAAATCTTGACTTTTGACTGTCAAATGACCATTTTGCCCGTACAGTTGACTGTTGAGCAATTAGGGTTTTTGACTGTGCAATTTTGTGCTGTAAGTCTTGAAACTTGGCATAAGGATGCTTGACCATGTTTGTAGGCATGTGGGACTTGTTTGGACCCTTGGAAACTTCAACTTCTTTGCCAGAACCAAAACCCTAATTTTTGACTGTTAGGAGACCATTGAACTGTGCAACCCTTGGGAGACTTTGAAGCATGCTCTTTGCAAATCTTGAAGAAAATGGGAGGGCAAATTTTGGGGTACAACAGGTTGCCTTTCCAAAGGGGGTCGTCTCCCCGAGGGCCGGGGTGACGGGCTTCGGGAGGTGTCTCTGTAGTGTCTCCGCGGGGGAGACGGGAGATATACCTCTGTTACTCGAGGAGGTGGAGTTTGGGGCCTCCTGTGTCTCCTCGCAGGTCTTCGATCATCTTCTAATGCCCTCAATCTTTCCCCCTGGGCGAAGATGAGGTAATTCGTTTGGTTAATCGCCGCGAATAGTGCGCGGGTTGTGGCATCTGCCCCGACAGGGACAGGTACTTCTTGAAATTGGGCAGCTCGATGGCTTGTGGGAGCTGCGTTGTCTTCTTCGAGCGGCGGAGGGACTGAAGAGGATGATGCAGTAACTCCGTCGCGGTGGACTGAGGGCCCGGGGTTGGCGCCCCCGGGGAGTATGTTATGGCCGGTGTTACCGGCGTTATCGGGGTGTCCATTTTTATCTACGAGGCCGTTGTTGGTGTCGACGACGCGGATGTTTTGTTCATCACGAACTTGGTCAGCTATGACGGTAGGAGGTGATTTGAGCTTTGGTCTTCGAGGTTTTACAAGACGGGGAAGCTAGTTTCCCACAAACGGCGCCACTGATCTTACCTGATCAGACTTGGACCGTCACGACTTGCTCCAAGCGGAAATTGAACGAGATGGGGGGGGGGGGGGGGGGGGTACCTGCAAGGCACTCCGATGCTAAAGTGAGTGACGGTACGAGCAGGCAAAAGTGTATGTATGGGTAAGAGAATGAATACCTGACCCTCTAGGAACAGGGGGTATTTATAGCCCCCAGCGCGGGGCCAAGGTCCTTTCATTGGGCCGACCAGGACTGGCCCAACAAAGGGACTGCCAGGTTCTATGTGTGTAGTGGGGACCCACACGTGGTCTCCTTCCTGGTGATGCTCTACGATAAATGAGAAGGGACGAGGACGCGGTCTTTCCGGAGTTCTGGTGATGGGGTAACGGTCATAGTCTGCCCTACGAGGAGGGTGCTCGAGCTGGGCTCGAGCTGGAGTTCACGTGGTCGAGGACGCCAGGTCGCGGGCAATGGCGGGCACGGCCATAGCTTCTGGTCGACGTGCTGGCGGGAATCTTCGGGCGCGTGCTCCTTGGAGGGTTGCTTGGATTGGGCCTTTTTTCTTGCTCTTGGGCCAGAACGGGCCCAGTCCAGAACAAAAATAAAATTGTAAAAATAAAGAAATTATTTTTAGGATTTTTTATTATTCAGAAAAAATAATTAAAAGCATATAAATATAAAATATATAAAAAATATGAAAAAAATATAAAAATCAGTCGGGGGTGCAAATAACAAGTCAGGGGGTGTGATTAGTAAAAATAAAAAGGCCCAAGGCGCCAAAAAGCCCAGGACTTCATCCCTGACCTTCGTCCCTCTCTTCTGCGCGCGCTTCTAGTTCAAACCTGTAACTTGCTAATGCTTGCATAAAAACAAAATCTCATAACATGAAACATGTGGCATTTGAGCTCACGATTCCAACAATATAAATTATGTAACCTAACTCTTAAATATCAGAGAGAATTTTTGAATCCCTAATTCGTGACCTAACTTTTTCAGCATTTTTAATCTTCAAATTCTCTTAGCACAAGTAATATAAATGAAAAGTAATGATATGTACAGCTTTGACATGATAAGGGCTACATTTTTTCTTCACAAATCGTGGCTTGAAGTTGCCTATTCAGAGAGATAGAGTTTAAGAAATTACCTCCTTCAGCTGGATTTGTGTAGGACAATGTAGGGACTTTAATGGAGGTCTGGTGATTGTTTAAGCTTCCTTGAACTTCCCTGAACCTATTCCAATGCTTAGCTTTCTCTGAGGATGGCTGAAACTCTCTGACCAAGTCCAACTGCAAGCTTCCAAAATGAAAATGGTGGATGCTGAAACAGGGGTTACAAAACCAGGGTGATGGCTTGGATTGCTTTGGTATGATGTTTATGAGATGCTTGAAGTGTTTAAACACAAAACGCACGAGCCAAATGAAAGTTGGCTATGGTTTTGCAGAAACTGTGAGTTTTGGCAGAATTTTGGTGTTTTTGAGTTTCAGAGTGTTTTAGGTCCAAGCAAATCGTGCTAAGCCTTGTGACCAGTTTGTGAATATGAAGAGAAGTGATACAAAGTCATCCCTTACTAGCTGTACAAGCTTTAGACCTTTTTGCAACTTTTCTTGCATTTGAAGTAAAGTGAAGTGACTAATCTAACATGCTTGTCCTTGCTTGCTTGAGGCCTAAAATGAAATTGTACCAATTGCTTGAGATCTGTGTAAGTTTCTTGTATCAAAGAGACAGGTTCAATGCTCAAGATTGACAAAGTTGCAAAAGCTTCTCTTTATGAAAATGGCATTGTGAACTTTTTGCCCAAAATGGAAATATCTTTTGTACAAAGCTTCAAAAGCAAAGATAAAGCATTTTTCAACTTAGTTTGCATTTAATTATGGAGTGTATAGCAAGCTTAGGTTCTGTAAAGCAAGATACAACCAGCATAGATTGGATTTGCAACTTGATGCTATGTGAAAAATGGCTTGAACAAAAGTGAGAAAATGCTAACTCCCCTTCTTCGATTCTCCCTACTCAAAAATGATCTTGGAGAGTTCTTGGACATTTTGGAAAGCT